ACTCTGCAGTTGAGAAGGAAAAGATGTTTTGCAGCTAAAAGGGGCATTACATGCAAGGCATTAGTAAAATTAAGTATCGCATATATATATATATATATATAATGTATATATATACATATAATAAGAAATCTATATGTATAATAAGAAATGTATACTGAAAATATACATTTTTTACTGTATATATGTATACAGTACAAAGTTCGAGATCCGCACATCCAATATCTGGAATGATCTAAAATCCAGACCTCAAAGCCACCACCAACCAATTTTTTAGGGCTTTTTTGGAGGGAAGGGTATGCTTTACTCATGCGCATTAGATTTTTTTTCCTCATAAAAAAACATGCCGGAAATCTCAGTTTGGCACTAAATAAAATATCTCATTATTGAAGAAATAACTATTTTAGCATAAATTTGTGTGATTATAAGTTACTAAGTAACTTGACTCCATAGCTGCGTATCTGCTTGGCATAATCTCAAACCGAAACATTTGTTGATTTTACACCAACTAATAATTTATATCCTTGATACCAAAATCGCAAATCATTATTTATTGTATTTTGCTTTCATCACCGCATGTTTATCAACGGATGACAACTTGAGTGATGACTCATGCAGCGACGCCAAATAACAGAGTATTATCCGATTACAGATTTAAGTTTAATGCGCTAAAATGTTGACAAGGGGAGATTTAACAGAAATTTCTTTCCTTATGCTAAAAATAGATTTTGTTAATGATACTCATAGGACAAACGATTATATTTAGTGCTATTTGAATTAAGAATAACTGATTTGTTATTCACATAAAGCCAGAACCAGCGCCAGAGCTCGCATGGCCGCACCAGGCGGCAGAATTTAGGGAAGTTAAACAGAAGTTTTTCATTGCGATGACAATGCCCCAATCATCAATCAATTAACGGAGGGCGAAAATCTGTAGTATGGTTCTAAATCCAGAAAATACAGCTACCGATAGTGAAGAAAGTAACAGAGAGGTTACTGAACGAGAAAAAAAAATTTTGATTGACAAGTTATTCGGAATTCTCGACACAGCAATTACAGGACTTGAACAATGGAACTTAATAACTGAACAAGAAATTATATGTCTATAGTGCGATATGTCTATTTAATCTAAAGTATTAGCAGAGAAAACAAATCAAACAACTCACATTGAAAGAAATGTTTAATAAAGTAAACATATAAATATTAAGCTCTTTTCTTTTGTAAATTTTGATACCCTTTAAATCATAAATGCTTCATTATTTCATATTTTCAATTTTATAATTTCTACGTGCCATCTTAGTAGATTTAAAATGATCTAATATCCGGAAAAATCTCAAATCTGGGATCGCCGAAGTCCCGACGAGTCCAGACCTCGGACTTTGTACTGTATAATATATATATATATATATACGGAATGTATATTTTCAGTTAAACTTCTACCCAATAACTTTAGTAATTCATGAAAGTTAATTTTGCGTCTAGTTAATTCAGGAAAATTAGTTTCAATTAGTTGTTTTCAGCTTTAAAAATATTAAAAATTTTTTAATTAGTTAGTTTTTCAACTAATAATTGTATCGCCATTAGCAAAAATAATAATGCATTATATGCATACTATCAAAACAACATAGGCATAGGATTAAACCAAATACTTAATTGTCTATTGAAGCTTCAAAACGTATTTCCGAACTTCACTTTTTCTCGGCTAGCGTTACCGAATTTGCCCTTGGCGACCTAAAAAATCGAAATGGAGCCAACAGATTTCCCGCGAAATCGATAACAGACCCTCTGCAGAAATAAACTCATAATCCCGATATCCCATACATATAGTATGTGCAAAAGAGAATAAACTCCGTAGAAGAAGGTGATAAAAAATTAATTTATGGCTTAATTGAAACAAACACAGAAATTAAGCTAAGCAAAACCGTGTAAAAACAAATTGAAATGATAAAACGAAACTTAATTTTCATGTGAATTTTCAGCGCTGACTCTCCCATTCTAGAAATTTCAATTTGTTTCAGACAAAGACCACATTTAGCTTTATAAGGATTGTCCATCCATCAATATCCAGTCTTTGTAGTCAGCTTGATGAAGCCACAGTTTATTGAAAATGCACTTTCCAGGCATCTCGTTCCTATTGGCGTCGGAAGGGTTGTGGCCTTCCAGGTTGGGAATTGCTCTCTAATTTTGGCAAATATTTTCAGAATCCCCCCCTTTTTTTTTCTCGAGCACCTTCATCATCACTTTCGCCTCTTAAAGAACTTCCGGCTTCACGCTTTCGTCACAATCTGCCTAAATTTATGGATAACACCTGTTTCGAAAGATTGCGTGAATAGCCAATCAGACACCGATACTTTCGTTCGGGTAGCTAATTTTTTTTTTTAATCGTTTGCAATGCAAATCCGCCAACAGATTGGTTAAGAGCCGTGTAATTTTAATTCTATATTCATGAGAAATCGCAATTCACACTTAGAATGGCAATCATTAGAAATGATAAGAAATGTCAAATGAGCAAAATTAAGGATCGTTTATTCATTTTGGCCAAAATTAAGGACTTTTAAGGACCAAAAATCATTTTTGAAAAATTAAGGACTGTACGAACCCTGTTTGTAAAGTGAGGCATTCATGATCTGAGGTTCCATTGTATTTATGAAAAAATATATAAATCAAATGATAATATTTTCTAACACTACAGAACAGCTTTACAAAACTAGTTCTCCTTCTTTTTTCATTTTCACTTGCAAAAAAATTTTAGAAATGAAAAATGAAATAAACGCTATTTTCTCTCTTTCGAACCAGACAATTTTAGCTCTCATTAATTTAAAAATTCATGTAAAGTAGAAAATATAAAACTTTTACAGTTTGTTTAAAATGCATAGTTTGGAATTTTAATACAGTCAAAAGTCGTTAATCCGGACTCGTCGGGACTTCGGCGATTCCGGATTATCGATTTTTCCGGATTATAGATCATCAGTTTAAATCTCGTAAGATGGCATGCAGAAATTCTAAAATTAAAAATATGAAACCGTAATTTATGAAATAAAGAACAATTATGATCTAAAGGGTATCAAAATTTGCAAAAAGAAAAAGCTTAATATTTATTTGTTTACTTTATTAAACATTTCTTTCAATGTAAGTTGTTTAAGTTTTGCTTCGTTTCATGTGATAATACTTTCTCTTTAATTCTATTAAACAGACATAATTTCTTGTTCAGTTACAAAGTTCCGCTGTTCAAGTCCTATAATTGCTGTGTCTAGAACACCGATTAATTTGTCAATCGAAATTTTTTTCGTTTTTAATAACCTCTGTCACTTTCTTCGCTATCGAAAGCGAATTATAATGACGAGGAACTTGTTTTAAATCATATCAAAGACGGAGCATATCGAGATGAAATACTACATTTGGTAAGGAATTATAAGCCAAATAAAAATAAAAACATCTGCGCTGAAGATAAGGATAGTGTTGACAGATCAACTTCCAATTCATTACGCGCCCGCCGCGGCGATCCCCCCGCCGAGCAGCGTGAAATTGATAAACAGATTTCGAATTTCAAAACATACTTTCGCTTTAGATCCTTTACATATCAACAAATATATATCGGAAATTCTATTTGATATAATCGAAAGTTTAAGCTTACTTTTATAAAATTGCTCTTACAGTCTGCAAAAAATAATAAGTCGGATCCAATTCGAAAATTAAGGAACCACGCAATCATCAACATTAACTGAAATAGATAATTAGATAATTTTACCTTATACGTCCATTATACATAAAACGCGCACGCGAAAACGTATTCTGCACTTGCGCACACTCATATGCGCAGTCGTAAAAGGTCTTACGCGCTCGCGTAAACGCCTATGCGCATGTGTCAACGCGACGCATGCGCAGAAAGTTTTTAGTTTTGAGGTCCGGATTATAGATCATTCCGAATTATGGGTGTCCGAATTAATGACTTTTGACTGTAATACTAATACTGTTGCATACATGCCATGAATTGAACTAATGTTTTTTGCTTATACCACATGTTAGTTCCAAACCTAACCTATCTCTCTTTTCTAGTGTTATATGTTTGCATGTTGAACAGAAAAACAAATCTTGAGTAAGTATTCAGCCTAAATTTGGACACCACTTTGCTCTTCTCTAAAAAGGAACAGCAGAATTATAACTGAAACACAAATCAAGTAAGTAATATTGTTATAAATCACAGCAAAAATGAAAATCCCAGCTTCACAATCCCAGCATTGTGAAAGTTATGGTGATTCTTACATACAACCGTGATGTATTATTCGAATGCATATCATATGTCAATTATTGCTGTTTAACTTTTTTATTTTAACCTGTGATCAATATTGTGAAACAAGCAATGTCTTTTTCTCCATCCTTCCATCATTTTATAGGACAATGTTCAGGTGGATGGTTCACCCAATGGGACTAAGAAGTTCTCTAGCCTCCATAACTGTGATCTAAGCAGGAAAATCACTTTGGAGGCCTTTGTTTCTAAATTTTTTCAGAGTTTTTACATCAGGCACTTTCAATATGACATCAACAGTATGACCACTATATCACTATCAAATTGTACACAATGCTCATAACTATATCAGAGGACAGTAAGAGTTTCACTAAGTCATCTCCTTTGTATCAAATGTAAATAAATAGTTGCTAATATTAAAATTCCATGCTACATGCATAAATGAGAACTAAGTTATGAATGTATTAAAAATGACATCTAAAAATTTATTTTTACATTTTACTTAATTATATTATCAGTAATCATCAAGTATAAAATTTTAAAAAATTAAAAATCAGTAGATTTAGTTCTTTTTCATATTATTTAGAAGTCCAGAAATACATAAATTTCAATATTTTTAACAAATAAAGTATACCTAGTCAGTTAACAGATTAAATTTTTTAAATGCAATAATATTTATAACTAAAAATTAAACCTACAATCCAAATTCAGTTTTACATGAATATTTTTTTTTTTCCAAATGTAACACCAAACTTACCATCTCAATTCGTTCTGTTATATTGAAATATTCAGCTGAAGTTTCTGATATCGTATCTACCGAATCTATAAAATAAATAACTGTTACTGCTAAAATTCTCTAAAAATTTAAAAACACAAAAACATTTTTTAAGTATAAACAATTATATGAATACTTTTGTCTAAGTAATATCTACAGCTGCTAACTTGTTTTTATCATTGAATAAAATTTAAATTCAACTAAAAAAAAAAATGTCAGTTTTAAAAGCTGTATCTGTTTTTGCTGTTCTCTTTTAAATATAAAATGGTATAAACAGAAGACTATTAAAAATCTAAAAAATACACATTAATTACCATTTGAATACAATTTTAAAATGAAGTATATGTAAAAGCTTGTAATCTCTATGTTGCTACAAAATTCCATAACAATTAATAAATTTTATATTAGATTAGCAAATATACTCTTCTGCATAAAAAAGAAAAACTATTTTTACATGAAACATCAGTAGGACATTCACAAAAGTAGTAGAGTAAAAAAATATATATATATATTAATATTGAAAAAGAAATAAAATATACATATAAAGTTTTACTTTATATGTATAAAGTAATTATTTATATTTAAAGTTTTACTTTATATAACCAAAATGTCATAAATTTAAACTTTCTTAGCTCCTTAAATATTTTATTCTCCTCCTTTAAAACTAACATAATACTGAAGGTATGTGCACTGGTATAATAGCAGAAAACTGTATTGCTAAAATGCATTCACATTATAAAAAGAAAGAATTATCAGTCATGTAAAAGCCTGAAGTCAGAAGGCAAAATATCTACAGAACTCCTGTCCTATCGTTAACATTTATCTTTCATTGTCTGTCCTCTTCAACATCTTGCTTATCTTAATACATTTTGTCAGTTGCATTTTTTCTAAAAATACTTTTCTTTTAAACTTTTTTTTACTGCTGCTAATTACCATTTTCCCTCTGGTTTCCTTCTGGTTTGTACGATGCCTTAGCAAAGAGAAAGCAGCATATTTATTTGGTCTGCAACGTCTCGAGAGATGCACTACAGTCTCCTGAAATTGGCAGCTCATAAACACATAAGGCTGAGCAGTGGTAAGCACGAAGGATTTCATCTGGCTTAGATGGGTCAGCAATATCATATGCAGTGGGCGAACAATTGATGATCACTAAATAAGGTCCTTCACATTTGAGCATGAATTTTTGGCTTTTTTATTTTGTGATCTGCTAATAGGATGTAGCGTCACCTAGTTTGTAGGAAGCGTTTTTACATTGACGATCATAATATGTTTTTCTCTTGTCTTGCTTCTGTTGGACATAATCATTAATTTCTACTGTTAAACAAGCAAATCGTTTGACACACAGGGTTATCTCAGCCACAAAGTTATTAATGTTGATTAGTTTTCTCAGGTTGTGAGTAATATCATACATTTTTTCTTAACTCTCCACCAAATAGCAAAGATTTTATTAAAACGTTGTGGAATCTTGAAATGAAATGATTCATTTAAAACTGCATAGAATCAGAGTGATTCCATTCCAATCTCGCTGAATCAGAATGATTCACTTAACTACACAGAATTAAGGTGTCCCTACAAAATTTCACTGTACTGTTAGACGAATCGGGATGATTCGGAATCAGGATGTACTGTTAGATGAATCATCCCGATTCGTCTAACAGTACAGTGAAAACTTCACTTCAAAACTTCACTGAATTGGAATGATTCATGCAAAACTGCAAACCACCAGAATCAGAGTGATTCTTTTCAGACTTCACTGCATAAAATCAGGATGATTCTATTTCTTTAAAGCATTAGCGGGCCATGACGTTGCTTCGATAAGAAGATCATCCATGCATTGTAAAAGGTATATGTCTGCAACAGTAGTATCATTTAGTTTATAACAGTCAGTGTAAAGTCTTATCTACTGTTTTGTTTAGGCACCAGTACAACAAGACTGACATGTGAAGATTCGCATTAAATTGTACACTGCACAAAAAAAAAGGGACAGTTCTATATCTCGCGTTCTACTGGGCCGATTGGTTAGCATTTCATCCATTTTGTTTTCCCTTACATTTGTTATTCGAAACATATTTTGAACACATTCCTCTTTAAGCTATGCAGTTGCAACAGGTGTTCTTACACTTAAGAAACTTTCCAAACATGTGACTTCACCTTACTTGTATTATTTATACCCCATCACATTGTAGCCTTATCTACTGCTGATGCATCTGATCTTTGGAAAACAGAGTCTTTTATTTACATCCTTCTCCTCTGTTCCCCAATATCTCTGTTAGGAACATTGTTCAAGAGGCATTTGTGTGAAGTACCCTTGGGGCTTTATTAAGTTGGGCTCACCATCCAGCAGATATCCTAATGTTAACATCACTATTTATTCTTATTGGAATGTAGGTATCTTTGAAAGAAATAATGTTGTGATAGTTAACAGTAGTTTATCCAACACTACTTTTCATTTGTAAGTCTCTTACTGTAACCACATTCTTTGGGGTGGAAGGAAAAAAACTCACATAATTTTTCCCTCTCAATTTAGATGATAAAATTAGTTTAAACGGGGGGCAATACACAGTAGAGTATAAACTCTACCATTGAAGAAATTCAGAATTCAATGCCAAATTTAAAAAAAAAAAAAAAAAAAATTAATTTTGAAATTGAAATTCAAAGCGGCATTGTGTTACAGATTTGGTATTTAACTAGTTAATGTTAGTAGAATTATAAATAAAATTGTTTTATTCCCCGTGCAGTGCAGCGCCTGATGAATATTAAAAGAAAGCTAAGCTGGAAGATTAAAAATATAAGAGCACGTGCATTTAATAAATAAATATCTCTTTATGATTTTGAGAAAATACCAGAAAATTCTCGCACATTTAAAAAGCTTATATAAGCAGCATGAAAAATCTCTCAATTCATTAATATTTAGTTAGTTGTTGTTTTAAGAGTTTATTTAGAAAACTGCTCTTGTTGACTGTAGCGAATTTGCGGATTAGCTTTCTCTAGCTGTTTTGAATTAAGTTCTCTTGAACGTTTGAGTAGTTAAAAGATAACTACTAAGAGATATTGCAATACTGCACAAATATCTGAGGAAATTTAAGCATTTTTGTTGTAATGATAATAAATTTTGCTCATTTTTCATCGGACTTGTGCATTCAATTCCTAACGAACTAGTATGCACACAACAATACATACAAGCTTACAAAATAGCAAAAGAAAAGTTTGTCAGCTGATAATTTTAAATGCCAATGAATGCTTAAATTATATCGATGCACACATTCAACTGAAAGCAAAAGATGCATTGTAATAATAAAAAAGGTTAATAAAACGAAGACTAAGTGCAAGAAAAGGAAAGAAAGAGAGAGACAGAATGTTGCATGCAATAATAAAAATTTGAAAATAAACTTATAAAATTAATTTTCTTCATATTGCCTAAGCTTGGCAACCGATCCAAGCAGAGATCATGTGGTTTCTAACCAAAGCAGAGTGTTTCCTCCCTGTTAAATTTAATCTTATTTTTAATTTAATTTTTCCTTCCCTGTTAAATTTAATCTTATGGCAATCATTTCCCATAGACAGACAGAAAGCTGAAATTGCATTGCGTCATGGAATATCGGGAATAAGAGAAGGATTTAGCATTCTCCAACTTTTTAAAGCTGTACAAGTGTGAAGATCTCATATGATATTAGACGAAAATAAATTTTTAAAAAACAGTTTAATCCTCCAATAAGAAATGGCTGTATTAGGATGTTATAGTAAGCTGGCAGCTCTTTCTGCAAGGAAGTCCGCTTGTTCATTGCTCCAAAAGCCAGGCACCCACTGGAGAACGATCCATTTCCTCTTTAAAGTGAGAGTTCTCAGGAATTCTTGACATTGCAAAATTTCAGGTGTCAATGGATGTTCAACAGAGCTAATTGACTGAATAGCTGCATGAGAATCAGAAAAAATTACTGCCTTTTCAAACATGTAATGGAGAGCTGACCACTGCTTTAGGGCTATACATATGGCTACTACTTCACCATCAGAGGAAACGCTAATGTAAACATTGGTGTAAAAAGAAACCCAAACAGGGGTGTAAAAAGAAAAAAAAAAAAAAAAAAAAAAAAAAAGATTCAAAAACACACCAGCCCCAACTTTAAAATGACAGTCAAACTGAGAACCATGAGTAAAACTGCGCAGCCACTGAGTAGGTGGTTATCTAGCCGCAATAGTCTCCAAAGCAAGACATTTCAAAACACTTTTTTTTATGCAACACCTCTCTTTCTATGGATGGTTTCCACTAGGTCTATCCTTACTTTGATATTAATCACCTCCAAAGGGCTTCTGGTTGTCAAGAGTGGTTGTATATTACCTGGAATTTCAAGATCTTTTGTAATATCCATGACTTTTTGAATAAATCCATATTGGGTTTTTAATTTCCTAGGATTGACTACGTAGTCTCTCCAGTACGGATCCTCCATCCGCAGCATCTTTACATAGACAACCAAGGCCCTCATTTTCATCATATCACAGAAGGGTTTATTTTCTATCAATAATAACATCACATCAATAGGTGTGGCCTTCACAGCTTCTGTAATCAAGCAAAGAGCTTGGTTTTGCATCGTTTCAAGTTTATTAACCACCGATTGTGGGGCAGTGATGAGAGCTTCACAACAATATGTCATTAAAAGCAGGATATATGTATTAAATGTAATGTTAAAAGTGAACCAAGCCCACCCCCAGATACATCCTGCTAAACACTTAAGAATACTAAATCTATTTGAAACACACTTGGTAAACAATTTCAACATGAAGTTCCCAACTTAATTTATTATCAAAAGTTACTCCCAAATAAGTAAAGTTGTCTATGTAGGTAATCAATAGTAGCTTGGTACTTTAACTCTGGTCGAAAATTTTCATGGGTTGGAGAAAAAGACTGTAAAGCTGTCTTTTCCAAATTTACAGTCATATTGTGTGTGGCATAGCTCTAGCTCATTGCCCTGGAAGTGGCTAAGTGATCTAAAATTTGTGGCATGCTGCTTTCCTACTCTTCGTCCATGAAATTTCACATTTTTATAATGGGTAATTTTTTTTACGTTGAAATTTTAAAATAAAGAATGCACAATGATAAAAAAAAAAGGAATTTGGAAAAACTCACCAAGAATCAGTAAATTAAAATAGAGATTTAGAATAAACTTCATTTACAAGATATTTTTCTATTATACCTCATGGTGCAAATAGTAAAATTCTACAATTATTAGTTAATTTGTTAAGTAAATACAATTTTTAATTTACACACTTTTAGAATAATTCCTATATGGAATTTAAAAAAAAAAAAAAAAACAAATGTTTTGGAATAAAAATTTCTGGCAACAATTTTTTCTTTGAAATGAGAAATATCATCTGCTACTTTTAAATTAATTCCTCTTTCAGAATGTCACATATAAACAAGTTATGGATTGAAAGATATATTTCTGTACTTTCTGAAGAAAAACATTTCTAAATGTTCAAAAACATTCTGAAATGCATGGTATTAAAATTTCTGAGTACAAAATAAACATCATTATTAATCGAAAAGGGAACAACATCAATCACTACTTCTAATGGAAAGCAGATTGCAAATGATTATGTGAAAAAGATACATGATGCTTCTAATGTTTTCTAGAATTAAACAGTTTGAAACAAAATAATTGTATTATATACAATTGAAACTCTTTAAATACATCTGTAGCAACAATAAATAAAATAATAACACAAGATTTACAACTTTAAAAAAAAAAAAAAAAGCTAAAAAATATAATGTTCAACATTTGTTGAGGCATTGTCGCTAATGCAGAACAATTTCTAAAACCCTGTAAGAAAATTACTTAGCTGGAGATAAATTGAAAAACATTGTGACTTTTGGTTGAAGCATTGTATTACCTAGATTCATTCCTTAAATTTCATCCCTACACTAAATCATTCTAGATTTAATTTTCAATGGAATTTAGAGCATATTCTGCTTTAATCTGTATTTTCAATGAATTTATAGCATATTCTTGCCTTATAATATATAATCATTACAAGTGTTCATTCTAAATTTAATTTGAAGAATTTATAGCATACATTATTGGTCTTGTTTTATAATATGTAATTAGTATAAGAATTCCTATTGCTTATCACCACTTCCTTTCACAACTGTGTATTTAAATTTTCTATTGTTAAAATAACCCAAAACATTTCTAAATACCCCCAATAAAATCTATCATTAATTCTTTTAAAAGTGCTATTCGGTACCAGAAAAATAGTCACCAAACAATTCTCTAAATTAACTATCTACAGATGACAGTTCAAAATTTTGAAATATCTTACTAACTGCTTAATAATAGAGGTACTTTTTCATTTTCAAGTGAATTTGCAATAACTTCATCTGTCAAAAAACGCTCCTAGAAACATAATAAGAATTATATATCAATGGAAACTTCTGAATTACATATCGAATAACAAAATACAAAATAACTGAACTCACAAGTAGATATACCAAAAGCTCATAATTACACAAACAAAATGTTAATTATTTATGTGTATTTCCATATATGATAATTTCCAAATGCTGACTCAATTTCATATTCTCATGCAATAGTGTCAGCTCCCAAATGCTGACACAACTGCATATATATGCACATATTTAATTAGAATGATTACTGATTATAATAAGAATTATTACTTTTCTGTCCATTTATTGCCTGACAGTGTCAGCATAATAAATATTAATAAATAAGCCTCATGAAAAGATAATTACTTTATATATAATGAACATAATTGTATATAATGTTTAACATGAACAATGCCAATAGGTGTGTGCAAAGCTGAATTTATACAATTATCCGATGTTTCTGCTTAAAAAAACATCAGGCAATTACCTAAATTCAGCATCATGTACAGTTTCAAAGTAGCATACATTAAGTATTATATATAATATCATCGCACAGCAGTTCGTACCGCAATAAACTACAACATTTGCCCCTTGGTAAACTTTCGGTGACTTGTGTAATGTTAACAGAAAATTAATGAATGATGAAATTTTCAATTCTCATTACAAATGAGTATGATTGCACTTAATAAAATATGCATATTGCACATGTATATATTAAAAAACAAAAGCCTTCAGTTTGAATTTAAAGGAAAACATTTAATTATTTTAATCTCTAAGTATAAAATTTTTTTAGGTTTAAATCAAACATCTCTCTATGCACTAATATTAAGCTAAGAAATATACTGATAATTTTTAATTTCTCTATCTTTTATTTCATTAAAATTTCTTCACTATATTATACTCACTATATGCAAGATATAAAACAAAAAATTAACAAAACAAAAATTTCCATATCATAAAATAGATCAGTAAGTAAGTACAAACGCATGTATTTAATAAAGTACAATTTATTAAATATTTTAAAATAAAAATTATAAATAAAATATTTCAGGATAAAGACTGTAGACTGAAGCTACATCATAATAATATAGTTACATTTTATTACATTACCTTCATTATTTAATATTTTACAGCAATAAATTTTAGTGAAACAACAAAAATTAACACTCTATTTCATAATATAAAAATTTTCAACTAACAACTAACTGTTGGCTACTTTCTGCATTTCCATCTTCTTCAGTTTTCATAACTTTTTTCAAATGACGAACAGTATGACTATGGACTAAAGCATTTGCAGCAGCCATTGTTTCTGTTACGAAGGTAACTGTAACAAAACTTAACAAACAAATAAAAAAATAATATAATTATGTTAAATAACAATAAGGTCAATTTATAGAAAAAATACATTAAAATATTTTTCTTAAATTGAAATAGAAATAATCTAAAAGCTATATTTTTTAAAAATAGTTTCACAGGAGATCATGAAAAAAATAAGCATAGAGAACTGCAAAAAAGTACTTCGAAAAAATATAGCATTACAAAATTATACACTTCTTGGGAACATCACAATAACTTATACAGTACAAAGTCTGTAATCCAGACATCCATTATCCAGAATGATCTATAATCCAGACCTCAAAGCCACAAACTTTATGTTTGTATGTTTTACGCATTCGCGTAATGCATTTATGCATGCGCATGTGCGTTGGGAGGATGTGTCTCCAGATACGTTAAAAAATACCTGGCATAATTTATGGCCAGCTACCATATTTAATGGTGAGGACAATGAAGATGATAGCTGCGAATTTGAAGATTCTCGGACATCGCAAACTAAAGGTGAAATTTTCCAGTTATTGGATTTTGTAAAGAAATGTGGAGTTGCAGTAATAAATGAAGATGATATAACAGAAGCTTTTCATTGTGACAACAATGCCCCAATCATCAATCAATTAACAGACAGCGAAATCTGTAGTATGGTTCTAAATCCAGAAAATACCGCTTCCGAGAATGAAGAAAGTGACAGAAAGGTTATTGAAAATGAAAACATATCGATTGACAAGTTAGTCAGTATTCTAGAGACAGCAATTACAGGACTTGAACAGTGGAACTTTGTAACTGAACAAGAAATTATGTCTGTTTATAGAATTAAAGAAAAAGTATTAGCACAAAAATTGAAGCAATTTAAACAACTTACACTGAAAGAAATGTTTAATAAAGTAAACAAATAAATATTAAGCTTTTTCTTTCGTAAATTTTAATACCCTTTAGATCATAATTGCTCTTTATTTCATAAATTACGGTTTCATATTTTTAATTGTATAATTTCTGCATGCCATCTTACCAGATTTAAATTGACGATCTATAATCCGAAAAAACCCCTTCCAGAATCGGCGAAGTCCCGACGAGTCCGGATTACGGACTTTGTACTGCTTAACCTTGCAATAGGAATTTAGCCCTTAAATGCATGTAGTTGGCATTTGGCAACTTATTCATATTTAGTCATGTAAATCAAATCAAAACACAAATTTTAGCTTATTGCATAGTGTAACCAATTGGATACATACTGTTTACATACATAGTTTTAAAAGTTTCAGCGTGGTGCATCACTAATGGTGTAATGGTCATTACTGCAAGTTGATGAGTAGGGTGTGTTTATATTATTTGTGTTTATGAATTTTTGATTTTGTATTTGTTGTCATTTTGATGTATTCAAACTTTTAAAATTGTTTGAGGTATGTATTATTACATAAAATTGTTATTATACATTTGTCAATTATACTTTTTTTTGTAAAAGTTAATAATATTTTTTCAAAAATTAGAATAAAAACTTAGTTTAGATTTTTTTTTTTTTTAGTATTTTTCCTATTTTATTTGATATCAATTCTGATGTATATTTGACTTGAAAAATAAAAATTCAGGTATTTAAGGGTTAATAATAGGATATTTTACTGTACTTCAAGAACTATTTCTTTGTAATACAGAAAAACTTGTAAATTAAAATACAAAATATTACATAAAAAGTATTTTAAAATGAACATTTAGCATTTGATGCTAAATTTAAGATTTGATGCTAAATTTAAGACAAATATAAAAATATAACAAAAACCAAGAATAAAAAATTTTCAGATAATACAAAAACTGTACTTGTGTATTAACGCAACCACCTTGGTGCAGTTTGGCAGTTTTTTACAGACAAAAAGGTAAAAGTTACTTATTGTGTGGTTTTCTGGATGTTGGCAGTTTAGGCACTTTTGTGGCTTTTGCACCTCTTCTTTAAAAAGATTCTCAAACTATCAATATTTATAGCAAACGAGTAAGCATACTTTAACAATTTAAAATATAAATTTGAAATAAGGATTATTAAATAAGGATTAAGAGGTACATTAAAAATATAAAACACTTACATTCTTCTTAAAATTTTTCTGTAATTTTTTTTTTGCAATATTCTTCTAAAAAAGTACACAGGAATCTGTTTTTGCTTTGAAAAAAAATCACAGAACTGTAGAGACTTGGCTTCCTGCAACCTTGGCAACAGCGGGCTTTTTTACCTCTACTGGCACTTTCCGCAAGCTCATATTTTAAAACTGAGTTTAAGGCAAAAAATATCACAGTTTATTTATAAAAACCATTAGAACCTGGAATACAATAAAAAGGAATGATACAAAAATGGTGGAACTGCTTGACTGAAAGTCTGTTATGGACATCTTTGCCAGAACTGTATGCCAGTAGCACAACGAGCATAACTGGCACCTGGGCCATGATTTCTTTTTGCAGCACCCCCAAAAAACATACAGTAAACTAATACACTCGTAATAAGAACATAATACAAATAATAATAAAATGCAGCGTCCGTCTTAAAATACTCTATAATATATTATGAATAGTCACTACCCAACTAAATGTCTACAAAAGGGTATATATAATATATACACTCAAAAGTCGTTAATTCGGACACCCATAATCTGGAATGATCTATAATCCGGACCTCAAAGCTAAAAACTTTCTGCGCATGCGCCGCGTTGACACATGCGCATAGGCATTTACGCGTGCGCGTAAACCTTTACGACTGCGCAGATGCGTGTACGCAAGTGCAGAATACATTTTCGCATGCGCGTTTAATGTATAACGGATGGTATAAGCTAAAATTATCTATTTCAGTTAATGTTGATGATTGCGTTGTTCCTTAATCTTCGAATTGGATGCGGCTTATTATTTTTTGCAGACTGTAAGAGCAATGTTATAAAAGTAAACTTGAACTTTCGATTATGTCAAATAGAATTTCCGATGCTGGAGCTCCCAAAGGATTTACAAAACGAAAGTATGTTTCGATGTCCACCAAACATAAAGTGGAATTGCTGCAAAAAATGGATAAAGACATGAAGAAGGTGACAGAGAGGTTAGTGAAAATGAAAACATTTCGATTGACAAGTTAGTCGGGATTCTCGGCACAGCAATTACGGGACTTGAACAGCGGAACTTTGTAACTGAACAAGAAATTATGTCTGTTTATAGAATTAAAGAGAAAGTTTTATCACATAAAACGAAGCATTTTAAATAACTTACATTTAAAAAAAATGTTTAATAAAGTAAACAAATAAATATTAAGCTTTTTTTTTTTTTTTTTTTTTTTTGTAAATTTTGATACCCTTTAAATCATAATTGTTCTTTATTTCATAAATTACAGTTTCATGTTTTTAATTTTAGAATTTCTGCATGCCATCTTACGAGATTTAAACTGATGATCAACAATCCTGAAAAATCGATAATCCGGAATCAGCAAAGTCCCGACGAGTCCGGATTAACGACTTTTGACTGTATATATATTTCAGAATAATAGGCTCAGGTTAGGTTTTCAGTTTGCGAGAAAAAAAGTCTAGTTGAAAGAGTCAAGACTACGGCTGGATTCGGAAATGTGTCTGTGTCAATAGAAAAATCCGATAGAATTAGTTAAAAAGATATTATTTATTTTACATATTTATATAATTGTTTTAAAAATGGAAAGGTTAAGCAATGAAAGTCTGAAAGTTAGTTTTTAAACAATGAAAAATGTTTATGTATTATATACGAGGGTTGGAACTTTAATAGTGGCTACACAGCTGAAAAAACGCTACGCAACAAAACCAAAGAATATTGCGTATATCACACGTGAACTACATACCTACCTTACCTCTCAGCAAAAAGACTTGTCCTGCCTATGTCACGCGCATGTGGAGTGACGCGATGAATGGATCCTTGTATTAGCTCGCGGTCTAAAGTAAGTGTTGTCAGGATGTTTTCAAAACAAGAACAACGATGTTGGATAAAAATTGAATGTGCCAGAGGTCTTACAGCACGACAGTTTCATCAAGGGCTTCAAGAGGCTTGCGGGGAATCTGCATTCCCTTACAGAACCATAGCAAGATGGGTGAAAGCATTCAATGAAGAACGGCAAAATGTGGCAGACATGCTGCGGCCAGGTCGCCCGAGTGTCAGGGATGCAGACGTGCAAGCTGTTGCCGCACTAACGGACAATGATCGCCGCCAAACGATTCGTCAGCTGGCCGGACAAACAGGATTAGCGCATACGATTGTGCTGCACATTCTGAAGGAACGCCTGTCCATGAGAAAAATTGCTTCACGATGGGTTCCACATCAATTGACGGAAATGCAGAAATGGCTACGATACGATGCTGCCCGAACCCACCTGGAGCGCTATGAGCGCGAAGGAGATGCTTTTTTATGCCGTATCATTACGCTGGATGAGACTTGGGCCCAATCGTACCAGCCAGAACCGAAATGCCAATCACACGAATGGCGTCATCACGGGTCACCACGACGTTCAAAACTTCGTCAGAACCCCAGCAATGTGAAAGTTATGGTGACTCTCGTGTACGACTGTGATGGTGTCATCCTAACGCATACCGTTTCCCCACAGCAGACCGTAACTACGCAGTATTACTGCTCATTTTTGGAGCACAATCTCCAACCAGCTTTGAGAAAAAAACGGCGGCACTCCTCTCATTTTGCATGACAATGCTCGGCCGCATGCAGCGCAAGCTGTGACTGATTTATTCAAGCGATGGGGCTGGGAAGTGCTTTACCATCCACCATACTCCCCAGATCTAAGCCCTTGTGACTATGACTTAATTCCTAAGATGAAGGAACCACTTCGTGGCACTCGCTTCCAAACTGTTCCTGAGATTTTTGCGGCAGTAGACCGGTCCATTCAAACTATCAACAAAACAGGCGCTGCTACAGGTATTCTGCGACTTCCACATCGTTGGAAACCGGTTGTACACAATGCTGGCGGCTATATTGAAGGACTGTAAAACATGGTGACATGAATCACTTTTGTATTCCTTGTAAATAAATAGTTGCCACTATTAAAGTTCCAACCCTCATATATAAGTAGTATTTATAATTAATTATATTCTAACACATTAATACAATTAATTGTTATGTATACATTTTTCTTGCCTTTGATGAAGCAAATTTATTAATTAATTCATCAAAGTCAATGATTTCAATTTTTTCTGTTTCCACATTTACAAATGCTGCATCACTTAGGCCATCTTGTTCCATCATTGATCGTATATATGCAAAAATTAATTTTAATTTGCTGAACAAACATTCACAGTTAGCAATTGACACTAAAATAGAAAAGGAATATTTGAATTGCGACTCTTAGGTTTGGAAAAACATTCTCTCCATGTGATATTATAAAGATAAGAAGCTCTAATGGAGTTTTAGGTTCAATTTCTTTTCTACTGTAGAAGAACATCTTGCAGTCATATAAGACACAGAGTTCTGTTCCATTAAAATCTGTATTATTAAATTCACACAAAATTTTACAATTCCTTTCAAGATTGTTATCAACATTATCCCTGTTTAATAAATTTTCAATGTCCAATAAATATCCAAATTTGGAATTAAGATCACTTAGTCATGTAATCATGTGCTTATTTCCTGCTGCAGACAATCAGAAATACTTTTCATAATGCAAAAAAAAAAAAAAAAAAAAAAATCACTTTCTGTAGAAAAACCAATATCTCGAGCCAATTTTTGGCATTTTTCGGCGGTGTCTAACACAGATTGTTAATAATCCATTTTTTAATTACCCATTAATACCCCATTTTTCACAAAGAGATGGGTTTTCCTATTGCCTCTTCACAGATCTCATCATGAATTTCTGCAAGTTCAGTCAATAATGATTCAAGATCATGCAATGCTTCTCTAAAATTCATTTTAAGAGCTTGTAATCTGATCTGCATATGATCAGTTTTCCTCAAAAGTTCATGCTAGAGATGAACTTAAGTTATGAAATTAAAATTCACTGTATTTTGCAATAAAGTTGTAGCTTCACTTCTGGTGTCATTTGGGTAGAACTGCCCTATGCTATTTTTTCTAAGAGTTTTACTTTCTTCCAGATCATCGATAGTAGCATTAACTGCTTCTGCTCTGGCACTCCATAATCTTTCAGGTTCATGTTTAACAGTTTTCTTTAAAGCATTTTAAAATTCCAATCATAATGCTGAATATGAGAGAAAGAGATACGTTTCCAATTATTCCAAAACATGTTACAACAACTGGATCTTGCTTAGTTGCATTAACTCTTACTAAATTTTGTGTGTGGTTATCAAAGTTTACAAATAATGCTTCTTCTTTTTTTTTTCACATAATTCTTTGTTGAATGCCAGATATATGGCCTGACATCCCGGTAGCATCATCATAACAGTCTACCATGATCTACAGTTTGTTAATGAATTCGGCTCAAAATTTAATTTTCTAAAATTGTATTTTCAGTTGAAGCTGCATATTTAGCATGTATTCCAATAAATCCCCTAAAAGATTCTTTGATATAAACTTTTCTGCTGGTAAAATCAATACCTACATACCTAGATTTGTGACATTGTTCTTGATGAGGGATATCAAGAGTCTTCCATAATATTTATTTCTTTTGATGTCACTTATTAGTTGGTTATTATTGTTTGGTGGCCAAATTAATAATAGTTGAATGCTGAAGGCATATCATATAGTAAAAGAGTACAGTTATTGTTTTAAAATAACAAGCATGAGTTGTACATACATTTCGTTAAAAAAGAATTAAAATATTTCACTATTTTATAAAAATAGTGTTCAGAAAGAAAGAAGAACATTTTGCATATGAAGATATTTGATTGATTTACTGCAGACATTAGTTATAACATAGTTTATCAGACAAATCAAGAAAGGAAACAATTAATTATATTACAATATTTATTAATTTAAACTTTATTTCCCAGAAATCAATCAAAATAAAGATTGAAATTTTCTGTAAAATCTTGTTTGTCTTGGGGACCATTTGGTGCCCCTCTGCACACTCTCTGGGGCACAATTGCTCCCCTCTCACTACACCACTGTTATATGCATGGTTGCCAGAATCTGGCACATTCTGAAAATTGGCAACTTCTACCAAAGTGGTTGCATTAATATGTAAGTACCCAAAAACCTTACCTCATAAATGCTAAAATAATTAAAATTATTAGACTCAATAACCATCCTGCTTCAGCTATTGGTTTAGGCATAGCCAGGGCACCAGTTCCCACAATTAGATTGAACACATACATAAGACCCATCTGTAAAAAAAAAAAAAAAAAAAAAAAAAAAAAGAAGAAGAAGAAGAAGAAGCACATACACAAAAATGTAAGACATATATATAAGATAAATTAGGATGGACTCCATGTTAAGACTGCAAAACTAGTAAAATCACAAGAGACAAGAAATTTTGAAATTTCTCAAGAATCCAAAATTGAAAATTAAGAAATTGGACAAAACTTTGTCACAAAAATCTTTAAAAATGAATATCAACATTCTCTTTCACAAGCCAGTTATGTAGCAAACTAAATGGCACATAAATGATTATTTTGTGTCCAAATTACATAACACATGGTATCAGAAATAAGAAATTTATTAATACACAGATGGTATAAATCAGTAGTTTTCAAACTCTTTTTTAACAAAGTGCCTTTTGGTTTTGAGTAAATATGTAGCATGCTTCCAAGATAAAAATTTCTCAAATGGCAGGTTTCTCTTCCACAAGCCAGTTAGTTATATAGATGAGTAAGTGGCACATAAATATAATTAATCTGTGCCGAATTACATAATACATGGCATCAGAAACAAGAAATAAATTACATATTTGTTATTAATACTTAAAATTTTTTTGTTGTTGTTGATATAAAATTTAAAGCTAATTAAACTTGCAGAGTTCTGAACATAGGCAACATTGGTAGTCACCTAGGACCTATCAAAATTGTTTGCTTGGGACAAGATGTTCCTTTTGAGAAATGAGGTAAAAAGCAAAAATAATTTCCATGGTATCATTAAGTATTAGGTCCAGGAAAGCAGTTTTTGAACACTGTCACTTGAAATCTCTTAGTTGGTACAGCTTTCAAAAGATGGGGGGAAAATTGACTTATGGCAAGAACAGTAAATAATGTTATAGTTCAGGCTTGAGAATTGACAGCAGTATCACATGTTAAGCTTATATTCAAAACAGTTAGAATTTCATGGAAAAATGAATATTTTACTATGAATATTCCAATAAAGCTTCAAGCTTCAATGGCTTGGGGAAGGAAACAGTAGTATTCTTCCACAACACTGAATATTTGGTGGATTATGGAGAGAGCATAGTGAATTCTATTTTGCTCAGGTTCCAAAGAGAGACAACCAAACTCATGGCAAAAGTAGTGGATTATCTACAGGAGAGATAATGATAATTTATTCAGACTGTTGGCAAATTAATAAAAGAGAGAACAGGAAAGAGAAGGTTAGAGTCATTTATTAATACATAAATGGAGTAAATCAGTGGTTCTCAAACTCCTTTTTTTAACAAAGTGCCCCTTGGTCTTGACTAAATATGTAGCGTGCTGCCAAGATAAAACTTTTTCGAATGACAGTTTTTAAATTTTTATGGCCACTTAAAACATTATTGATGCCATTTCACTTAACTGAAAAGATATAGTGTCAACATTTATATATTCTCGGGGTAAGGGGTTACTGTTTTATCTCTCATTCAGAATCTTAAGGATCAATTAAAAATAACATAAAAATATCATTTTATCAGTAAGCTGCTCATAAGTTTTTTTTTTTTTTTTCTATCCAATTAAAAAAATCTGATGTGTACACCACATGACTTCCTTGTATCGGAATATTAAATTATACGCATTTTTTCTTGCATTTCATTTAAACTTATTGGATAAACTAAACGCAAAAACATCGTTAAATTGCATTCGATAGCGGTCAAAATGGATATTTTCGTTGAAATATGCTGCCTGAAACTTTTCGCGATTACAATACTTCCTTTTTACTTCGTATAAGGAAGTAAAAATGATAAAGAAATGAATTCAGATACAAACTTTTTTAATAAAAAAATTATATAACGGAATAGTTTTGCTGTTATGTCAGTTATGAAACCTCTTTATTTTTAGAGAGAAAAGTATGCCAGTTTTCTTTGGCACTGTTTTCTGATGACAGCATGTGCAGGTGGAATTTTCAAGTGGAAGTTTAGTATCGAGTTAGACCTAATGCTGTAATTGCTGTTTCTCCTACATTATGGATGAAAGATAATTCTCACATAGTATGTTACTATGAAAAGCATTACAAACTTGATGGGACTAGATGATAAATATTAGTTTCATCATGGAATAATTTAATAACTTCTACCTTTTCTTTATTCAAAAATCTGTTTGACAGACTAAACTCTTCCATCATATAAAAAAGATTCTTATATCTATAATTCATTTGATTCTAACCAAAATATTCTCTATTGACTTTATTCAAATTCAAAAATCGTTTATATTGTTCACAACACAACCACCCCTTCAACTATATTTTCTTTTGACAACTTTCTTAAAAATGGAAGGAAAATTTATCTATTTACAATTTTTCTGAGAACTAAAATTTCTTTTGCGAAAGTCCTCCCTAGCTAAGAACTAGAAAAGATATTTTATGTAATCTCCATGCTATCTTCAACTTCTGCCACTTCACAAAGGCTGATAGCCTTCAACATTTTGTGTACAATGGCTAATATTGGATTAACAAAATGATATTTGCAGTTTATAATAAAATGACTCTAACCTTCTCTTTCCACTTCTCTGTTTTATTAATCTGCCAATGGTCTGAATAAATTGCGAATATCTCTCCTGAATATAGTTCACTACTTTTCCCATGACTGTGGATGCCTCTCTTTGGAACCTGAGCAAAATCGAATTCACTACGCTCTCTCCATATACAGTCAAAAGTTGTTAATCCGGACTCGTTGGGACTTCGGCAATTCCGGATTATCGATTTTTCCGGATTATAGATCATCAATTTAAATCTCGTAAGATGGCATGCAGAAATTCTAAAATTAAAACATGAAAACCGTAATTTATGAATAAAGAACAATTATGATCTAAAGGGTACGAAAATTTACAAAAAAAAGCTTAATATTTATTTGTTTACTTTATTAAACATTTCTTTCAATGTAAGTTATTTAAGTTGCTTCGTTTTATGTGATAAAACTTTCTCTTTAATTCCATAAACAGACATAATTTCTTGTTCAGTTACAAAGTTCCACTGTTTAAGTCCCAAAATTGCTGTGCCGAGAATACCGACTAACCTGTCAATCAAAATGTTTTCGTTTTCACTAACCTCTCTGTCACCTTCTTCATGTCTTATCCATTTTTTGCAGCAATTCCACTTTTTGTTTGATGGACATCGAAACATACTTTCGTTTTGTAGATCCTTTGGGAGCTCCAGCATCGGAAATTTTATTTGACATAATTGAAAATTCAAGTTTACTTTTATAACATTGCTCTTACAGTCTGCAAAAAATAATAAGCCGCATCCAATTCGAAGATTAAGGAACAACGCAATGATCAACATTAACTGAAACAGATAATTTTAGCTTATACTGTCTGTTATACATTAAACGCGCACGCGAAAATGTATTCTGCACTTGCGCACACGCATCTGTGCAGTCGTAAAGGTCTTACGCGCACGCGTAAAGGCCTATGCGCATGTGTCAACACGGCGCATGCGCAGAAAGTTTTTAGCTCCGGATTATGGGTGTCCGAATTAACGACTTTTGACTGTATTTGTAATCAAATGTTCATTTCTTCCATGAAATTCTAATTGTTTTGAATATAAGCTTAACATGTAATACTTCTGACAAATCTCAAGCCTGAACTATAACACTCTTATTCACTGTTCCTGCCATAAGTCAAGATTTTTTCCACATATTTTGAAAGCTGGGCCAACTAAAAGATTTCAGGTGGCAGTGTTCTAAAACTGCCTTCCTGGACCACATACTTAATAGTACAATACAAATTATTTTTGCATTTTACCTCATTTCTGAAAAGAAACATCTTATCCCAGAAGAATCATTTTGCTAAGTAATTACCAATGTTGCCTATGCTCAGAAGTCTGCGTGTTTAATTAGCTTTAAATTTCATATCAAAACAAAATTCAAATATTTATATCAAATACCTAATTTATTTACTTTGTAACCTAAAATGTAAAGCCAAATAAATATAAGCAAACTTCATTCTTCCTTAATTATTGTTTTTTACTCCTGTGATAAGTAAATAATATTAAAATTAATAAATAGCAGTTTTTTTTATTACCAGCAAATTTATTCACTGTTTTATTTTTAAAAAAGATAATAATTATTTTTATTTAGAAATAAAGCCAGATGACATCAAAGGGCAGCATATAATAAAATATTAATGCTTGGTTCTTCTAATATCTATTTGCAACAAAATTAAATTGAATTTGACACTTTTGCAGCAATGGCCATTGTGAAAGAAAATTATCAGACAAATAATAAGCCAAATAATAAACTATAATATGAAAAACAAATTGCCAACAAAAATTTTTTAAATGTTATAAAAAGGTAAAATACTACAAAATTAAACTTACATTTATTTCTTGCATATGGTTTTTGCTTACACTTATTCCTTGCATATAATTTCTAATGCCTTTCTTATATATGATTTTGGCAATTGCTTTAGAAGGATTCTCATTTCTTATGTGCTGGTACCAAATGAAGTTTGCTAAGCACAACTCAAAATGAAGCCAATGCATGCATAATATTCTCTGGAGAAAAAGATCTTTTATCTCATACTAGAACATGTGAAAATTATCACAAAATGCACCTGTATATCAATAATTAATGTGTTTGCCAAAGCAACGTTAAAAATTACAGGAAGAAAGGTTTTTGTGTTGGAAATTGCTTTAAAGATTCTCACCTGCCATTTCTAAAAGCATTATGGTTTACTTATTTTTTAACAGAATTCCCATTCAATAAATGGTGTAAGTGTTAAAATGTGTGAAATAATTGTTGACTTGAGTGATCATATTATCTGTGGGAGGTGTTAGGTAAGACTGGTTTTTCAGTCAGCAAACTTTGGTAATTAATCACGGAGGTAGTAATTATCTTTTATGGTCACCATTTTAACACTAAAATATCTTGAATTCAATTACAAATTACATTACTAATACACTGGTTTGCAAAAATTAAGGACGAAGTCGAAAAATTAGCATATCAGCTGAACGAAGAGGCAGAGCGGACAGAAAGACCAATCAGGAGATTAAGTAAAGTGATGTACGGTAGCACATGCGCAG